GCCATGACAACGCAGGAGTGGCTTTGGGACAAGTCTCTGAATGTCCTTGAGTGGCCCAGCCAGAGCCCGGACTTGAACCCGATTGAACATCTCTGGAGAGACCTGAAAATAGCTGTGCAGCGACGCTCCCCATCCAACCTGACAGAGGTTGAGAGGATCTGCAGAGAAGAATGTGAGAAACTCCCCAAATACAGGTGTGCAAAGCTTGTAGTGTCATACCCAAGAAGTCTCGAGGCTGTAATTGCTGCCAAGTTTATTTGAATATTTATGTAAATGTGATATTTCATTTTATTGTATTTGTTTTGTTTTTGAAAAAACTATTTTTGCTTTGTCATTATGGGGTATTAATAGTGTGTAGATTGATGAGGGGAAAAACGATTTAATCAATTTTAGAATAAGGTAACGTAACAAAATGTGGAAAAAGTAAAGGGCTCTGAATACTTTCCGAATGCACTGTACTCCATCTCTCTCCCTCTCTCTATCTCTCTTCACTGGGTTCTGGGTGTTTGCATGCATGTAGCGCTTGTGGCATGTTCCATTATGTATCTGCTGACACCTGGTATACACTGGATGTGTCCCAAATAGCACGCTATTCCCTATATAGTGCACCACTTTTAACCAGGGCCCATAGGACTTTGGTCAAAAGTAGCGCACTATGTAGTGAATAGGATACCATTTGGGACACAGCACCAGCCAGTCCCAGACAACCCTGTATCTCATTTTTAAAGAGCTGGGTCTTCGCTTTTCAAGGATACCTCCACCCTCTCTCTCCCTTCCACGTGTGGCATCTCTGTGTCTCTCTTTCATTCTGTTAGTCTTATCTTTATTTCACTTTTCCCCTCACTAGCTCTGTCCCTATCTCAACCCTTTCACCTTCTATCCCCCCATTCAGTCTCCCCTTTTCTCTATCAATCTATATCTCTCACTCCCTCTCATCCCAGTCAGAGACTGTAACACACCCACACACACACAGACACACACACACTCTGCCCTCAGAGTAGTGGGTGTCTCCGGCAGGCAGGCTGGGGCATGATGCCCAGAGGGACAGGGGAAGTGGGCACTAATGGCTGGCAGAGAGGATGAGGACACAGTGTGTGTTTGTGTGTGTGTGTGTGTGGGGGGGTGTGGGGGGGGGGGGGGGGGGGGGGCGCAGTGTGATAACAGAACAGAACAGTGGAAACCCTGGGACAAGGACTAGAACTATCCTGCAGCCAGACAGGTTATAAATAGACAGTGTTAGAGCCTAAAACTAGGAAACATTGCATGCGCATGCACACACACACACAAACACAAACACAGAGAGAGAAAGATGTCAAAGGTCAGGTTGAAGATAATCAGGCACACAGACACACACACCCTTCACACACTTACCCAGGGAGTTTGAATACAAATGCAGAGCAACAAGCCTCTTCAAATGCTCTTACTCCCGAGTGGGAAATGTGTTCAACTTGAACACACAAACACACACAGAAAGATGTCAAAGGTCAGGTTGAAGATAATCAGAACTATATGTGGGCAGGGCTATAGCCAGTTGTTCAATGTCCCAATAAAGAGTGGACTTACACACCAGTCTCTTTTACCAGTTTTGTAGGAGTGATGGGCTCAACTCCTAAATTACATCATATTCCCTATGTAGGGCCCATAGTGCTCTGGTCAAAAGTAGTGCACTATGAATAGGGTGCCATTTGCGACGCAGAAACAGTGCTCAGGAACAGACAGTCCTAATTCGTTCCCTACCCCTTCCCCTTTGGCCCTAACCCTCTTGGATGTTTGCTTGCAATACAGAACTACAACCCTTCATTCTGTTTCTATGGTTTGCAGATCTGTAGTTGTCTCCACTGCAGCATCCAGAAAAGCACTGACTGAGCTCCCCTTTATCACTCTGTTATTTTATCTAACTTGAAATATAACAAAACATGTAGACTATATTTATATGTATAGCACCGGTGCTAGGACCCTTATAGGCCTAAGCAACAGTTCAGGAAATAATGTAGGCTAAGGTATGAAGTCTAGCCCAGTGCTTAGTTTGTACATTTAGAGGTGCCGGAACATTGACATTTACATTTAAGTCATTTAGCAGACGCTCTTATCCAGAAAAAGTGAGCCAGAGAGGGGGGTGCCCCATGGTGCTCTGAGTAACAAGAACGCATGAAAAAAATATGCATTGTATGCATTATCATGCTTTTGTGTACTGGCACAGATCAGTAGAGTAAAGGCGCTTGCAGAAGTTGTACACATGGCGAAAAAAAATTTAGCCTAGGGTTCGGGAAAAATGTGGCCTTTATAAACGCATTTCATGCAATTCTACATAATTTTAGATGACTGGAGACTTTAGTAGAATATTTTTTAATACCTCACATATGTAGCTCAGCTGGTAGAGCACGGCGCTTGTAACGCTAAGGTAGTGGGTTCGATCCCCGGGACCACCCATACAAAAAAATGTATGCACGCATGACTGTAAGTCGCTTTGGATAAAAGCGTCTGCTAAATGGCATATTATTATCAAAATGACAGGCTACTTTGACACTAACAAACTGAGAATCTGAGATAAATAAAAACGACCATGTCTTCAATACATCAATAGCCTAGACATAGGCAATATGTACAATATGAGGAGGATATTATAGTCCTAAAAAAGATTTCCAGTTTCACTGACTCACTCAATGATGCTCAGCTCACTCACCCGCGATGGCCGATGCGCTCGTGCCAAAAGCTTATCTCTCTCTTGTTTTACTTGGTAAAACAATGCTGTTCGCTCAACAGGCCCATTTGGAAGTTGATAACTTGGTAGCCTACAGACAGATTAGTCTTCTCTTTTCAGCAGGATCCATTTGCTTTCCAACTATTGTATATTAAATATTGCGAAAGGCCTGTTTTGGCTGCATGACTGACAGATTTGCCGCGCGTTCCCGACTGTAGGCATGCCTCTTGATTGGGCTACACACAATCCACAGCTAGGCAATTTTGTTTAATAAACTATTGATCATCTGTGGCTAAATTATAGGCCTACTACTGGTGTAGTATTGGGAATTATTTCATTTATTTCTGAATAGACAGCAGTAATTCTAAAACTTTGGCAAATGTATTTCAATTTATCAGGGGTGCTGCGGCACCTCCAGAACCCTTCGCGCGGCTATGATTCTATAAGGAAATAAATGATGAAGTGCAACGCTGGAGAGATGAGAGTTGCAGGCTCATGTCTATCAGAGTAGTGAGAGAGAGATCATAGAAAGGGAATCTCATTATAGTTCTGTGCGAGATACAGGCGCGCTTCTCTCTCTCATGACAGCAATGGCCACGTGTTGGTCTATATAGGGTACAATGTTGCGCAAAGCATAAACCTGGGCCAGGCCAACACGAATCAATTATCAGGCACGTATTCACATTACGTTTTTTAGGGGGCAGCCAGTATAATTAGAGGAGTCAACTTGAATCAGCCTAACTCTGATTGCTTTTATTATAGTTTTTACATTGCAAACAGTGGAAATTATTTTAAATGCTACGAGAGGTACCGGATCCTGGCAAATGGGTTCCGGAACGAAACAGTCCCAAATTGAGAGGTGCCGGATCCTGTTCCGGCTCAAATTAAGCACTGGTCTAGCCTATCAAAGGTGGTGGTATATCCTATGCAGTTGATGCTGGTGTCAGATCAATCCGCACATGCTCAGAACACCTTTCGTTCCATCTGCCCGTGGAGCTTCAGAGTTGGTGGAAAAGGGACGTCCCAACTCTGACGTCACCCCATTGAAGTTGACATATAGAACGGTTAAGGTTAGGTAAGGGTTATGATAATATGATAAGGTTAGGGTAAGGTATTGGTTAAGGCTAGGGTTTAGGGTTGCGGGGAGGAGGAGGTGGTGTCTGTGATTCTAGTCTAAACTAGCCTAGCTCAGTTCAATGCGATAGTAACTTGCCTATATCATTTTACATTTTTGTCATTTAGCAGACGCTCTTATCCAGAGCGACTTACAGTTAGTGAATACATATTTTTTATTTTTTTTATACTGGCCCCCCTATACCTACTCATCTTATAAAAATGCATTTTCTTCAGCGTTAGGTTAAGTGAAACTTTATCCGTTGTGATAAGCCCATATTGTTAACGAGCGCAACATCACATTATATGCATTCTGATTGATACATCCAGTGAGGCATAGGCCTATGGCCATAATTAAATAGAACACTGAATGAATGTTAATAGTGAATTAGGCTATAGCCTATGTGAATTAATTACATTTTATTAACAGTGAACGTAGCCTATATTATAATATAGCCTAGGCTGTGCCTGTGGCATAGCCTACAGTCAGTGAATTACGTGAATTAATGAACGATGATACACCAAAACGCTGTCATAAGGAAACTGTCTGGAGAAAGGACGGGTGAGGCGAGAGTATAAAGCCGGGGAGGAATCACTGCAGTGCAGCAGAACTGTCAGTCAAGATACCGGGGATCGAAAGAGGCACACAGCCGGGAGGAGCGTAGCGCCGCGCCACAACCAGACCTTAACATAAGACACAGTCAGTTCCCTAACCATTCTCCGTACAAAGTCCAACCATCACCAAGTGCCCTTATATATTTTGATGCATCAAAGCTCATGTGTCCTCATATGAACGTGTCTTATCCATTCTGTAAAGACGTTCCATTTCAGTCATCCAAGAAGAGGGTCTGGCGCAGCTCCCGCTGCAGGTGCACTGGTGCATGCCGGGTTGTTTCGGGTGAGCTTCAAAGGGCCCCATTAGCCTACCTGTTCAGAAATACCCTTACGCAAGCCCACCCTCCCTGTCCCCCTCATACACACGTGTGGAATTTCGCCGGAACAATGAGAGGAATGTTGAGGTTTTTAAAATAATTTGAAGGGGTGCCTCTCTTGTCTCTATCCGCCTATCACAATCGAATGGCGTAGCGCCTCAGCCAATGTGTACGATGTGTGGACCACCCTGGCCCCTGAATCTGAATGCATCCACTACAGGCCATTATAAATAGGCTAAATGTTTGCCTGCAACCCTTGGTCATGCAGAAACGCTCAGGGTTGCAGCAGAAACACTCCCCGTCTTTTTTCTTTCCACATTTATAAACGCATCATATCCCATTTATATTATTTCCGAGGTTAAAGTTATTTGAGGCCAGTTGCATGCATTGTTCGTCTCCAAAAATGGTTTGCGAGACTAAAATTGTTGCGGATGAACACGATGCCATACAAGGGACCAAAAAAGATTCTATTATCGTTTCCTCCTCACAAATGTGGACTTCTTCCACACCGGCACCGAATCCTATCGAGGAAAATTATGTGAGGAAAGATACGGTTTTTATCCGTGAGTTTGAGCGCACTGACCATGTGGAAGTGCGCCGCATCTTTTATGAGGGGATCATGGAGAGAATACCCAACACCGCATTCAGAGGCATATTACAGCAAAGTCAAACCCAATTCTTATATGTTCTTCTGACACGTAAGTGACAAGATTTCCCATATACTTAATGATTTACTGGCCTGAAATTCGTTAAAAGTTGCCATTACTCATTGAAAAACTATTTTCATTTTACCCATGTATTTGCAAATTATTAATTAAGACATTATTGATGAATAGCCCATCCATACTAACACATGAAAACCAATTATTGTAAAATATATATAGATTTGTAAAAAGTTAGAAGTGAGTTGAAATGCAGTTGAAGGAAAGCCATAATCTGTTGGAGCATCGATGTGTAAATTTATAATTCGTTTTCTTTCTTTTTTTAAATGCTTTATTCATTTAATGGCACAAATACATGCTATGTGAAACTTTCATCAAGAGGAAAAGGATTTCATATTATACAAATTCAATAACAACATAAAATACATTTAATAATTGTCAATTTCTTCTCGAGTTCATGTGTGGATGTGTGCTGGATCCTCTATACCGGCATGTAGTGTAGCTCATGTGCAGCACCGCATCAAACCGCAACACAAAGGCATGGCTAAAACGCATGGTGCATGTAGCCGGTGGGCATGTTCGGGTGGGCATGTAGGGGGCAATGATGCCAGTTGCCGGTTGGGTTGGATGCATGAATTAATGAATAGAATGGCAATGCGTTTATGCACCACCACCACTAGCCATGTGTGCATGTTGGCATTGTTTATAATTAATTACTGGAGATGTTAATTTCTTAATTTTCCTCATGTATGAAATGCATGGGTGTTCTTATGGCACACTTGATCCATATGGTCAGACGCATTACAAATAGCCTGGTCTATGATGTGAATGAATGGCATTACGCACCAAATTACGAATAACAATTCAATTAGGCTGTATATATATTCCATGATCATTATTGTCATTTAAATGTACACCATCTAAAACAAGACTTTTGTACACCTCATGCCTTTGTCTGTGCCGTGGTAAGTGACCATAATTACCAACAAAACATCACACATAGGCCTAGCCTTTTTCACTGTTGACATTTAGTCTGAAAATGTGTGTATAATATGGATATGACGCTATAATTTAGAACCACGTCGCTACAATGTAGCCTAATGTCAATGTTGACAGTAAACACGCCATGTCGTGGTGCAATGGAGTAAAAGATGATTGCATGTCAGACCAGACGACAACATAATAACATGCAATGCCGCTGCACAACCTGTCTGTGTGGTGGGTTCCACTCTGGCGCAACCGTGCGGCCAAATCAGAGAAATAGGCTACTCCAAAAATCACTGACTGTAAATGGACCAGAGATGATATTGATAGGCTGTGTAGGATATCTGTTTGCATCCAGTCAAATAAATACATAGACTCAACATAGGATGTCATGTGATGTTTTGCTCGTCGGGTGTCAATCGCTTTCTCTACAGTAAACTAAATGTGTTAAATTAGGGACTGATCTTATTTATTTTTAAGTAACTTATTTTTGGAATGTCACTGTTTGGTTATATAATATATATTATGTGTGTGACTTCCGCCAAAATCCAACATTTGATTCTCTTTTCTGACAGGTATCGTTTATTTTTCTTCCTTATCTCCATAGTAATGTGCTTTGCTGTGAGCAAATCCCTCGCGCTGACCTGCTGTGCGCCGTTCGTTCTAATGGGCGCGCGCTACTTCTACAGCAGCAAAGTTATCCACAACTATCTGGCCTGCGCGCTCCAAACTGACATGGCGGACATCGAGGAGTATTACATGAAACCCACAGGTAAGAGGGGTAGTGGTAGATTGGACACAAAACAGAAACTATATACATTCTGTGGAAATATATGATCTGTTGTCTTTGTCAGCATATAATGTTCATCCACAGACATTATGCTTTTAGTGAATTATGGGATTGAAAAAAATTATGGGATACAAAACATAGCCCTATGAAAATATAGAATCACATACCCCTTTGAAAGCATTTAAATGACCCCCCCCCCCCCCCCCCCAGCCCACACACACACACACACACCCTCCCATCCCCCTCCCACACACACAAAGTATAGAGTCTCTCTCAGTGTCATAGCTGGTCAAAACTAGTGCACTATGTAGGGAATAGTGTGCCATTTGGGATGCAGCCTGTGTGTTCAGAGGCAGTCTGCCTGCCTATTAAGTATGCGGGGCGACTCGCTCCGCTTCGCTCTACTTAGTTACAGAGGGAGCCAGGGCACACCATGTTACTGAGCCTATTGATTCTGAGATGGAAACTGCTGATACACTTTCTGCAGCAGTCCGTCCACTCAATGTCGGCCAAGCCTCATTGGAGTCATTTCCTCAACTACAGTCCCTAACTAGGAAAATCAATTACTCTCTTATGATCCGAAACACTTCCTTCCATTCTGATAAGAGGAAGTGAGCTGTGACCACACTTCCTCCTTGTTCCATTCCAAAACATTGGGCTATAATCAAATCAAACCTCTCTTTTTCTCTCTCTAACACACTCACACACACCCCCACATCCCACACATACACTTCCATCCCTCTACATTTTGGGGTCAGTCGGACCCTATTTGGAAGTTACTTAAGGGCAGGTGTTCGTTAAGCCCATCATTGATTTTTCTATTTGTCTTTCACTTTGTGTCCGCTAGCCACAGTTATCCAGTGTGTGTGTGTGTGTGTGTGTGTGTAGGAGTCACACAGGATATTAATGGGATTAACCCATGCAGGTCTTTTGTGTGTGTTTGTATGTGTGAGCGTATGGGTCTTTCAGAGAGAGACTGTGTGTGTGTGTATGGGTCTGTCAGAGAGAGACTGTGTGTGTGTGTATGGGTCTGTCAGATAGAGACTGTGTGTGTGTGTGTATGTGTGTGTGTGTGTATCGGTCTTTCAGATAGAGACTGTGTGTGTGTGTGTGTGTGTGTATGGGTCTGTCAGATAGAGACTGTGTGTGTGTGTGTATGTGTGTGTGTGTGTATCGGTCTGTCAGATAGAGACTGTGTGTGTGTGTGTGTGTGTGTGTATGGGTCTGTCAGATAGAGACTGTGTGTGTGTGTGTGTGTGTATGGGTCTGTCAGATAGAGACTGTGTGTGTGTGTGTGTGTGTGTGTGTGTATCGGTCTGTCAGATAGAGACTGTGTGTGTGTGTGTGTGTGTGTGTATGGGTCTGTCAGATAGAGACTGTGTGTGTGTGTAAGAGAGAGAGAGAGAGAGAGAGAGAGAGAGAGAGGGAAAGAGCAAACGTCTACATGATGTTAGTGAGAGAGTGATGATTTACAGTGACCTCCAGCCCTCATGTTCCTGCCATGGGCAGTGTATGTGTATGTGTCAGTAGTCAGTGAGTCATACAGTGCAGGGTGGGAGGGCCAGTCACTGGGGTTTAACACAATTAACAGACGATGAGCAGCAACATGGTTATGTCTACCAGCCTCAACTAGCCAGGAAAATATAAATACCGTTATCTCTTCTTCAGTGTGTGTGTGTGTGCGTTTATCGTCACTAAAGGCCAGCTGTTACCTCAGTCCTCTGCTCAGCTCATAGGTGTGTGTGTGTGTGTGTCTGTGTGTGTGTGTGTGCATAGGACATACCAGAAACAATAGGGACATTGGGGTGGTGGTTTAACTAGGGATTCTTAACAACAAAAGAACCAGGACATTCATTCTACCAGCATAAGTTCTCCCTGAAATCCCTTTGGTACTATCAACTAATCAATAAATTATGTTTCATTAACCAACCAATCAATTCCACTTTACTGAATCATCTGGCCTGTACATTTACACCACTGTGTTGTAGTCTATACCAAGCATACACAATACACAGCAACAAGGCCTTATAGGCTGTTATACAAGACAAAGCGAGGGGTGTGAATCCAGGGGCCAGGGTTCCGGTCTGGAAGCACGGTTTCTACCTCTGCGCATGTGAAGTTGGGCCGTGTAAACAGGCTGCAACCCAGATATAGACGGTCCATGAATCGGCGTATGCGAACTTGAGTACATTATGCTTAAAACAACGGTTGGACATCTTGGATGCAGTCTCCAGTTCTTTTATACCTCAATGGCATGAATAGGCACAAGGCAAAACCAAGCTCCTTTACCTACTGTACAACTTCAACATGACAGTATAAAGCTTGGGCCCAATCCCAAATGTCACCCTATTCCCATTGGGCTCTGGTCAAAAGTAGTGCACTATGTAGGGGATAGGGTGCCATTTGGGACTTAACCTAGTAGATAAGTAGGTGGGCCAAGGTGACTCCAGATACAGTCACCTGGTTCCATCCTGAGCCCCAGGGCAGTGATAACACTGGCCAGATAGGTCGTTATCCTCATATCTGGGTCTGGCCACATCCTGTCCCATGCAGGGTCCTGTCTAGACAGAACAATCTACGGCTGAATCCCAAATGGCATTTGGGACGCAGATAGCCAACAGTCTGCACCTATTCACTTCCCTGCTAATGACGGTGATCTCACTCTGTTCTGGGGAGTTGGTGAGTGCAGGTACACCACTACTGTCACTCCCTGGTACCTACTGCTGATCTTAGCTCTGCTGAAAGAGAAAGAGAGAGAGAGAGGGTGAGAGAGAGAGGGTGAAGGCGAGGTAGAAAATGGGAGCATTGGATAGGGATATGGGGGAGGGTTTGCTTCACGGCTAGGCTATATTTGAGTGTGTGCACGTGCACGTGTGTGTGGTGATAGGGTTTGCTGGGTAGAGAACAGACAAAAGGGTCTCCCTCATCAGCTGAGGTAGTTACACACAGTAGATAAATGTGGCTCCCATCTTTCCTCCTTCCGCTCCCTTTCTTCCTGTCTCCCCTGTTGAAGATGTAACAGTAGCTGTGGAGAACTGGGTTAGACGTCACACGGAGAGAGAGAGAGTAAGAGAGAGAGAGGAGATTATAGGATCTTTCATCCCAGCTCCAGTATATTCTTTATTCTCCATCCAAGAGGACTATCTATCTACTAGATGTCACTGAGTTTATGTTCTATAAACGTCATAGCAAATTTCAGTAAGCGTCTTAGTAATTCATAATACAATGATGCAACCAAAAACACGTCAATAGCACAGAACCGCTCCTCAAAAACCATAATTTGAATCAAAACTAGTAAAGAAAAATGGACCTGATGACTCAACTCTATTCTTCCGCTGCTCTGTTGTTCGCTACCTACTTCAGTCTGAGACTGCCATCATTGAAGTCGTTTGTGGTGACGAGGGGCACGAGGGGCGTTGTACAAAACAAATTCATCAGCGATTGGATCGTCTCTAACCAATCAGAGTATCAAAGCCAATGACGAAACCGCTGCTTTACCCACGTGTGTTCTGGCTCTGGCCCAACCCATCGGTTTATGGTCCAATCAGACGGCCCTGAATGTGTTCGCATTCGGTGAAGAGTCTGGGAGGTACTCAGATCCAGACTCATTGCGGAGAGGAAACTAATGTCCGTGGGCGTGGCGTAGCATTTGGCCAGAGCATGGAGTCTGGGTAGCCAGGTAACAATGGACCCACACCAGAGGAAAAATGAGATGTTAACAACATTATTGTTTCTGAACACTATCTATAGTTAGTCACTCCCAGGTGACCAATCCGATCTTTAATGGATGTTCAATAATGTGGTCCGATCTTTAATGGATGACCAATAATGTGGTCCGATCTTTATGAGTATGTGGGTGAGACACAGATAATAGCGCTTCTTCCTCTGCCTTATGCCACATCATCTTAGTGGTTCCTAAAAATGGTTTTGGGTAGTGCTTTAAAGGAAGAGGAGGGGGAAAGGGACTTTTTATGATCGCTCCTAGCCTCTGACCCTAGGACTGAGAGGACCTAAGTTGGACGAGTGGACGCATGCACACACACAGAGTGATTAGCCGGGCAGGGTAGTAAAATTAATGGGAAAAGGCCAGTGCTGCAGCCCCTTTAGTGATTAATGCACCTACACTGTCTCAGAGCTAATGGAGCTCTGACGAAGACAGAGGGCAGGGTGTGTGTTTGTGTGGGGTTGTAAACATACAAGGGGCTGGAAGTATGATGTATGACTGGACACAGGTTGATATGCTGGAGCTTGTAGGTCTTGAGATCTGTGTGTGTGCGCGTGTGCCGTGTGTTTCCATACACCTTAATGTGTGTGTTTGGGTGTACGCCCCTGGTCTCCTTGTCCTAGTCTCATCTGTCAGGGTGTGGTGTAGGTGTCAGGCAGATCCATACTCCCAGCATGCACTCTGTTCCCAGGGGAGGGAGAATGCCAGGTGGGGGGAGGGGTCTGTGACTGGGGGGGTGAGGAGGCCTCACACTGCAGATATCACGCACACGCTTAACCCTAAGATAGGGGTGATCTGTAACGAGTATGTACACACACACACTTTAAGCACACACACGCTGTTAATTAGCTTTTGTTTAATCTTAGACACACACACAGTCAGGGTGTACGCTGTCTAGACTCAACGCTTATCAACTGAATTACCCTCATATGTTTCAACTGAAAGGATAGACGCTAATCTTGTTAAGCACAATAAAAAGGGAGGGGGGGTAAGGGGGGTTCATAGTCATATCATAACATCACGCCATATTTAACTGTCTCCAACCCACGCACATGCATTACAGGCAGGCAGCATATTATTTTCCTATACCAGTTAGAAGAGTAAGTCGCTCTGGATAAGAGCGTCTGCTAAATGACGTAAATGGAAATGTTAAATGGAAGAGAAAATGCAGTCACAATAAATCCTGAGTCAAAACTCCTTACGTTTAGAGCACTTGGAAGCTCTCTCTCTCCTTCCATTCCCCTTGGAAGCTCTCTCTCTCCTTCCATTCCCCTTGGAAGCTCTCTCTCTCCTTCCATTCCCCTTGGAAGCTCCCTCTCTCCTTCCATTCCCCTTGGAAGTTCTCTCTCTCCTTCCATTCCCCTTGGAAGCTCTCTCTCTCCTTCCATTCCCCTTTGCTGCCCTGAGATTTTGTCTGCATCTTTCCAGTCGACCCATCCCTCCCCCTTTTGGTCGGTGGTAGAGTCCTCTCAGCCTGGTTTAACCCAAGCCCCCCCCCCCCTGCTCATCTTGGTCTGCCCCGGGGCTATGATAGATCAGCTCCCTTGTCTACCCCCCAACCCCTCCCTATTGCCCCCTCCCCATATACCAATACAGGAGGACTGAAGACAAATGAATGATCTCCTCTCCTCTCGTTCTCCATATCTGACTCGTAACCAGCAGATCCCTTCTTCTCATAGCCCCTGCTTCCCAAAGGAGGAAGAGAGGGAGAAGTAGGAAGAGAAAGCTTGCTTCAGTGTTTCTCCGACCTCCCTTTCTTTCGTCATGGCGGCAGACACAGGACATGAGCCCCCTCCACATACACACACATTCCCAGCCCAGACCTGAAGAGGAGTTAGCGACCTCCGCTATATAGATAATGACAACTTAGTAGAATTGAGCTTCTCTAAATCAGTTTACTTGAATCTAAATAACGTCAAATACAGCAGCTAGATAGAGCTCCTTGAACCATGCAACCAGCAGCCTAGGGGTTAATACTGTGGGATGCCTCTGAGCTTTTACCAGAGACCATGTCTGTGTCCCAAATGGCACCCTATGGTCTCTCATCACTATAGGGAATAGGGTGCCATTTGGGACGCATAACATTAAATCGCTAGTATATACAAGGCACAGCTTAAGAGAATCATCTTTAATAAGTATAATCTATTAATATCTAATATCCAATTTATATCTAAACTATTATTAATCTATTAACACAAAATGTGTTCCATAACATGGTTGTGCCGTTAATCTGTAGTTACAGCAACACTAAAGTGGTGTGTATCTCACACACACACACACCACACACACACACACACACACACACACACACACACACACACACACACACACACACACACACACACACACACACACACACACACACACACACACACACACACACACACACACACACACACTAACACACACACACACACACACTAACACACACACACCACACTCGCAAAGCTAGGCCTGGGCTGGTGTGCCTGGTTGTCCCGTCCCGTCCTGACTGTTGGCACAGGCCCTGCTCAGACAGATGGTGGGGAGGGCTTCAGCTTCAGAGGCGTGGCTGCCCCCTCCCCTACTTTCGCCCCTTCCCCCCACCTTCTGGGGGGGCCGCTGGGTAACTAACTGCACACCTCACATCATGCTCTCTACTGAGATAAAGCCCTGGAAACTAAAGTCTGATTTTGAATTCGTAATCAAATCGTGAGGATAAGACTGTAAGGTGAAATACCACGACACTGTGTTAGATTTGTGAGAGAAAAAATTAACGAAAATTAAAGACACTGACACAGTACACTGTAACTTGAGTGAATCTGCTCCTTCCAAAGTGGAGCTATTCCAAAGCCACCTCATACATTCTCCTGCATTGTGACTACAGAAGTCATTGTCTGACCCACTCTAAACTCTGCACACAATATGAACAAGGTCAAATGGGGAAAATGGCTGGGCCCACCATTCACTTGCAGATCTAGCTGCCTGCTACTGCCTCCCCAGCTGGGATGCCCACATGTCATGAAGTGTGTGTCTGGATCAGCAGGCTTGTTACCACGGCGACCCTGCCGCAGTACAGCTGACAGTTGTTTTATTCAATCAAGCATTAATCCAATGAATCCCAGAGGGCCCTTAAATCCCTCATAACATTGGCCTCCAGCACATTAGCATCATTTCACCACTCGCTCCATGACGTGATGTGTTCGAGAGAGAGTGCATGTGCGTCTGGTATGTGGTGTGTGCGCGCGAGACAGGCAGTGTGTGAGTGTGCGTGAGTATCAGATTGTGTGTGTGCGTCGGGGACCGTTGGCAGAAGGACACAGGTTTTATATTCACCAGTCAGTCAGTCACAGAAAAGGAAGAATATTCTCTGTGCTGTACTGGACCACAAGGACATGTCACCAATACCGCTGACATTGACAAAATGCTATTTTCAGCACTGTTTACTGTTGCATCCATATCACACATTTTGCCTGCTGAAGGAAATAACATTGTATATTTTTTTCACCGTGTAGTTCTTGGAGGGGTTTGCAAATCAAATAAACTTAAACGGTTTATCAGAATGAGGATATAGCGAGCCAGTCTTCTTTACAACGACTTGTCCAGCATTCTCCCAACATGGTACTGTAGCTATAACACTGACAGACAGCAGACAGAGGACGGTACTGTACTCTCACATTACAACAGAGACTGACAGGGCATCTTTGTACTCACGTTGATACAACTCATATCTGACATGCTTACAAACATAATTCTCTGCACAGGTAAAAACATGGCAGGCATGGACTTGCTTAACAATACGTTACGAAGTTGAGCATAAAACTTTTCAATACTGTATAAAACTGCTTTTACTATGACTAAGACCAGGAGATTTTTCCTGATCAGGTAACATGGTGGATGAACATTTCACTGTTGACGTGTGTGTGTCTGTGTCAGTGTGTGTCTGTGTCAGTGTGTGTCTGTGTCAGTGTGTGTCTGTCCTTCTCTCTGTGTGTGTCTGTGTCAGTGTGTGTCTGTCCTTCTCTCTGTGTGAGTCTGTGTCAGTGTGTGTCTGTCCTTCTCTCTGTGTGTGTCTGTGTCAGTGTGTGTCTGTCCTTCTCTCTGTGTGTGTCTGTGTCAGTGTGTGTCTGTCCTTCTCTCTGTGTGAGTCTGTGTTTGTCTGTGCATGTTCGTCTGTCTGTCTCTCCCTGAGTGTGTCTAATCGCCCTAACACTGAGCGACAGCTCAGAGCGAATAATGTTATTAAGCAGTTAGCACCAGCCTCTATCTGCTTTTAATTTCACACTCTCTACCTACCTCTTTCTCCCTCTCTCCTTCTTATTCTCTCTCTCATTCTCTCCATCTCTCTGATACACTTCACTTCATTCAGTCTATTTAAAGCCATTATGACATCACTAATGGAAACACCAGCCGCCACTATGTGACCGGAGGGTTTTGTGTGGTAGCATCCCTCCTTCCTTACTTCCTTTTAGTAGATCTATCCAGTTAGTGGATTTTGAGAAGGCTATAATTGGCATATCTTACAAACAGGACAGACACTCTCATATAGTTTAATAATGTGTGTGCCAGGGCCACAGTCCATCCACCTCACTTTCTTGCACCCACATCCGCACTTTTCTTCCTTGCACTGATTCTGCTGATAGACCCTTTCGAAGAAGGGTCTTGCAATGACTGTGATATGTGGTCGTTTTTTCCTCCTGAACTTAGTTGAATGCACTGTCTGTAAGTAGCTCTGGATAAGAGCTATGCTGAATGACTAAAATGTAAATGATACAGTGCTGTAATATTCTCAAAGCAGCTAACCTATCCTTACCACAGGTTTTACACAGGTCTTCCCAACACTTAGAAAAAAGGTGCCATCTAGAACCTAAAAGGGTTATTTGGCTGTCCCCATAGGATAACCCTTTTGGGTTCCATGCAGAACCATTTCCACAGAGGGTTCTACATGGAACCAAAAAAGGGTTCTTCAAAGGGTTCTTCTATGGGGACAGCCAAGAGTGAACCATCCTCATGTTTGCCATCTTAACAGAATCACATGGTCGTGTTAATTGACAGAAGCCATTGTAAAGCAACCTCTAATTGCTCTGTAATCTGAACTCATTAACACCAGTCCGTAATTAATGTGATATCCCGATACACATGAGCAGTGCTGCCGGGTTAAAGCCACAATCTGCCATTTCAACAGCCCTGGCTGCCACCTTGTAGCCATAATTCATTAAAATGGCCTTTAATTGAACAGCAGGAAATATTGCAGATTGTGGCTTTAATGATTGTTGTACTGGCCATAGTTGGGGGATGGGAGTCCACTCTACATTTGATCCACTCAGCCAGAGGCTCTGAGGTCTGTGATGTATAATGAATGATATGTTGGTGTTAGCTGGCCTGCAATGAGGTCCCAGGGTTATGGCAAATAGTGTAGCGGGTTTTGGGGCAAATAGTGTAGGGGGTTTTGGGGCAAATAGTGTAGGGGGCTATTGGGGTAGCCCTGTTGTAGACTCTCTCTTCTTATTGCTTCAGTCCTTCACTGAGTCAACCAGTGGTCCAATAAAGACAGTCTGTGGGCAGTCATAGGTCCTGCTACCACTCCCTTTTTTGCTTTAGCCTCTTCACATCCGGTCGTTTGGGGGTTAAATGTAAAGTATATGCTGTCAGATTTGTGTTGGTGCTGTTGGGTGTGGTATGTGATATGTGAGTTGTGTAGGTATATTGTGTGTGTGTGAGTCTAACTAGGCTCTCTGGTCCTCCAGGCTCGTGTTTCTGGGTGGCAGTGCTGGAGGGTCAGGTGGTCGGCATCGTGGCAGCGCAGGGCCGGGAGGACGATAACACGGTGGAGCTGCGCCGCATGTCGGTGGACTCGCGCTTCCGCGGCAAGGGCATCGCCAAGGTGCTGGGGCGCCGCGTGCTGGAGTTCGCCATGCACAACAACTACGCCGCTGTTGTCCTGGGAACCACCGCCGTCAAAATGGCCGCCCACAAGCTGTACGAGTCGCTGGGCTTCCGGCGGACGGGTGGGAGCGAGGACTACATGCTGCCTGGCATGAGCCGTTCGCCGCTAGAGAGGCTCTTCTTCCAGATCCGTTACCAGCGCTACCGCCTGCAGCTCCGCGAGGAGTGAGGGATGAGAGAGGGAGAGAGGGATGGAGCGAGAGAGAGAGAGAGAGCAATGACACCTCCTCCTCGAAGCAGAGCCCCTTGCCCAACGATCCCAGACCAAGTCCCCGATCGATCTTATACTCCTCTGGCAACTTTATTTTGTATCAATAGTTACTTCTTCTTACCACTTACCACTACTATTTCTATTCATTATTCCTAAGTCACTAACTTATGGGTTTTTGTTTTACATTTTAGATTTAGTGTTTTACTCCCCCACCCTTTGAGTAAATGATTTTGTTTAGCCTATTTCCCCTTCCCCTCCTGTTGTAAGAAAAAAGAATCTCTAACATATATCACCGTCCCATGCCTATTCAAATGACATCATCAACTGAGTATTCCCGTTGCTTTTGATAGAAATGTCATTGTAATAAATGTTTCGTTCATCACGACCCAACCCCCCCCCCCCCCCCCACCTCCACCTCACTGTATTCAGTAACACTAGAAGCCCCTCCCTCCTCTACTCCCCCCACCCCCTTCAGAACACCAATCAGAGGCTTAATCAGGAGGGTGGCGTGTTGCGTAACATTCAGATAGAAATATATAATGTAGAACAGACATCGTCCTTTGCCATGGAAAACAGGCATTCGTGTCCGCTCTATACATGGCATTTCTATCTGAATAGAAACGCACCCTGTCTCTTGTTAGCCCGCCTAAGCCCTCTCCATTGTCACAACAACGTTTGTGCCCAAAAAGACCTGGACAAAAAGACGAAGTAGGTTGGCATTTCTCCAGCACAGCCCATATTGAAGCACAGCAAGGGTCATCAAGTGAACTGCACCAGCCCCGTGGAGAGACAGGGGGAACAGGCAGGATGTGTACTGTGGAATCCACACTGTGGATCCTGTATAGGCAGGAAAACAAACACACACAGGCTTACGTCCCAAATGGCACCCTATTCCCTATGTGTTGCACTACTTTTAACGTAGGCCCATAGGGCTCTGGTCAAAAGTAGTACACTGTGTAGGAAATAGGGTGTAATTTTAGATGCAGACACAGTGCATTTTCTGTTTCCGAAACCCTCCTGCTTTCTGATATCCTCCTCCTTCCACTATCTCCTCCTCCATCTTTGGTCACGTTCTCTTCCCCTCATTCAACACAGTGTCAGAATGGATTCGATAGAATGACAATGGATTCTAATTCTATGATTCCATTCCACCTGCATGGGAACTATGAAGAGGGTCTCTGATTGGTTGGGAAGACGAGAGAGTAGTTCAGGCCAGGGGTACGTACCCATGCAGGGTGAATACTGTGTCAATATTAAACATATTACTAATTTAATCATGGGTTTTTCTCATGAGTAAATTATTTAATCTAATTAAACTTTGAGCGTTATTGAGTTATATGTGTACTTAGCAATTGTTTACTAATTGAATCAAGATACATTCGAACATTTTGAATATGTTTGGGATTTGATTGAGAAGAAATTAGAGATTTGTAAAAATAATTACAACATTTGATGGAAGCATTGCTACTTGTTAGTATGCACATTTTATGGATACTGCTACATGTACATAGTAACCGCAATCTAGTATATATTTAATCCAGGTTATTGGGGGAAACTACTTTGGTAGGCCTAATACATTATTTGAAATATTTGCGGACTTACAGTACGTAGCTGACTTAACAAAATGTATCTGAGCACACATTTTTCCATTTGAATTTAGACACAATACTATATCCAATTTACAGGTATATTTATAGCATTCTGTGTATGTGTTAATGTGTATACAGTTGGAATACTCTATACACTATGTAGCTGACAAACCCAAAAGACGTCCCCCTCCCTCCCCGTCATAAAGATAACCACTCTCTCCATTTCCAACCTCCTATCACAGACAGAACCAGCAGAGGGAGAGATACAACCTCTATGAGCCCAAGAATTTGTGGCATACTTGTACAAAGATTAAGAAATTAAATGTAAAAAAAAAAAATATATATAAAAAACATATAGATAAAAAAAAAAGTAGACAAAAAGATGTCATGAATTGTGCTGATCCTCCTTGCCTTGACTTCTACTCCCCCTTCCCACCCCTGACCCCCCATTCATAAATCTGACTGCAACCCTGGGCCAGACTCACCTCCCATCCGCCACCCTCTTCTACCCACTCCCCACCCCATCTCTGCATGTGCCACAGGCTTGCTGCGCCCCCCCCCCCCCCCCCCCCCCCCCACCAAAACGCCCCTATTGTGATGTCATCAAAGCGGTGTGTGCGTGTGTTGAGTGTCTGGTTGTGTGTGTGTGTTGAGTGCGTATGTGTTTGTTGAGTGTGTAGTTGTGTGTGTGTGTTGAGTTTGTATGTGTTTGTTGAGTGTGTATATGTGTGTGTGTGGTTGTGTATGTGTGTGTGTGGAGGTTGGGTGGATGAAGAGGTGTATTAAACCCACTCACTGCAGCGCAGCACTGCCTTGATGACATCAAGCCTGCCAACCGTAAAATGCAAAAGCAATGCAAGTGTGGCATGCCTCTGTTCCTGGTGTGTGCGTATATACGTACGGTGCCTGCCCTGGAAAAATGATCGGAAAACGACATTTAAAAAAAAGATAGAAAATAAGCTTCTCTTTTTTAGCTGAACATATAAACAAAAATGTGTGTTTCTTTGTCAGATAAAAAAAAATAACATTTTATTTTGCATGAGATGTGTCTTTGAATGCAAATGACTTAGAGGATACATTGTACCACATGGCAAGCAGTGGAAAAAAAGCGTTTTCATTTTTGTATTAAGTTGATATTATCAATTGACTCTTTTTATCAAGGGAGTGGGGTCATCATGCACAGTGAGAAGAATCCTATGGAGACGTGACAATGTCATAGTTTGTTCTTGTGTCTTTTTGACAAACGCCAAATAAAGCAGTGAGATCATGTTGATGTATCAGATGTTGGGTCATTCAACTAAATGTCATCTGTATTATCAGAGGACTTCTCACTGTTCTGAGACCCCCTCTCCCTTGTTCAACCATGTGAATTGAGATGTGGAGGGCACAAAAAATGAACCAGTTAGTCCAGATTTTTTCTCCTTCTCCAAATTGACAAAATGTGTGTGCGTCACAAATGGAACCCTATTCCCTATATAGTGCACAACTTTTGACCAGGGCCTATAGGGCTATATAGGGAAGACGGTTCCATTCGGAATAGGGTACCATTTGGGATGCACATTATGATCTAAATTATGATCGATCCACCCCATCTGAAAAATTCAGAACAGACCTTGGAATAGAAGTTTGACCTTGATCCACTAGAATGTAGGAGCCAGAGGTTAAATGGTGAGGCTATAAGAGTGTACTTACTAAGAATGTACACCAGAGGCTGGTGGGAGGAGCTATAGGAGGACGGGCTCATTGTAATGGCTGGAATGGAATTTATGGAATGGAGTCAAACATGTGGTTTCCATGTTTGATACCGTTCCAATAATTCCATTCCAGCCATTACAAGAGCTCTTCCTCCTTAGCTCCTCGCACCAGCCTTCTCTGGGGTTCACTACAAGTGTACACTACGTAGTAGTGTAGTAAGTGGACTCAAGTCTGTTAAAAGATTAATGTGAAGTCTTATCAAACTGAGCCATGATTTCCGCTGTCGCCATTTCAATAATAATATACCCTCTCGCTAAGCATTGTGGGAGATGCATAACCTAGGCTACTATTTGTGTTCTGGATAAATTACGTAATATTATACCAAGCCTCCGCAAAGGTTTTATATACTGTAATAATTACATGCTGACATTCAAATACCCCAAAAACAATCTATATGGCTTAAGGTAGCAAATTATTAATTTCCTGTTTTAAGTTGTTAGAGAGGAACAGACAAACTGCACTGATATGTCACTAGCCTATAATGCATTTTACTGTATTCCGTTTTTTTAAAGGGTCAAGCCTGTGTTTATATGGTGAATGCTATGCTATGCCTTGTTTGGTCTGGTCTTAGTACTTCTTGATACTGGTAAAGCATACGCAGTATTAGAATGTAGAAGAAAAACTGTATGCAACCACCACCACTAGTGTGATTCTGTAACTCAATAATAATATTCCATACCATTCCACTGAAGCTCTGCTGATGTACAATCCAAAAGAAATCATGTTTTTTTTAATTTTTCTTTTGGTTCTGAGAAAATAAGGAAATGTTTTTACAGTGTTGACTTGAGACAATAGGAGAATGTTAATGTATTGTTATCTGCAGAGGGTTTAAAGACGTATGCTGCATCAGAACTAAAAGCCTCATTGGAGCGCTCCTTTATCGAGTGCTTTCCAATCCAAAAGCGATCATCCGATCACCTCACTGAACGTAGACGTCAAGATATCTACAGAAGGTAGTCGGTAAATTGCGGTGATGAAACCATGCAGGCTCACAAAATACTAAATTAATACTTAATCTCTCACCTCTCACCTGGAAAAAACAGTATGAAACAAAAATCCCTCAATATCTGTCATCCAGATATCAAGTTGAACACGCACACTATTGCAGAAGTATAGATATAAAAACCGCACAAATTGTATTCCTGTGAGTATAGGTGTCTCTTCATGGGTGAGTGCAGATTTTCAAAGGCCTTGGAGTTAATAGCAGACATGAATGTATATGGGTACCGTTACTAAGGGTCTTTGGTGGGAGAAATAGATGACTTTTTTGTTTTCTTTTAATAGAGAATGAAGACAGAAAGGACAAATAGCAGCTAATGGTTCTCCTATCGCTGAGAAAACCACTACATTTGACATTTAAGAGTGACTGTGTACATAGCAAATCTATTACTGTTGTTTTTATTTACAGTTTATATATATAATTTCTGTTGCTAAAATAATGGACTTTGGAACTGTCTGTCTGAGAAGATGGCTGTCTTTGGAATGTTCTACCAAATGAGGAGGGGGAGGGGGGAGGGAGGAACGTGCCACTGTGGCAGGTTACCCGGGAGGGACAAAATGGACTCTCCCTCTCGCTCTACTCCTCTGGTGAACGTATCACTCTGCTGTGGCTAACAGGACGACTAACTCTCCACTGTGGCCACAGGTGCCAAGAACGCAG